CTCTCACCCTCCCCCCCAGAGGGCAGACGTCTCCCCCTCCCCCCCAGAGGGTAGACGTCTCCCCCTCCCCCCCCCAGAGGGTAGACATCTCCCTCCCCCCCAGAGGGCAGACATCTCCCTCCCCCCCAGAGGGCAGACATCTCCCCCCCCAGAGGGCAGACATCTCCCCTCCCAGAGGGCAGACATCTCCCTCCCCCCCAGAGGGCAGACATCTCCCTCCCCCCCCAGAGGGCAGACGTCTCCCCTCCCCCCCAGAGGGCAGACATCTCCCTCCCCCCCAGAGGGCAGACATCTCCCTCCCCCCCAGAGGGCAGACATCTCCCTCCCCCCCAGAGGGCAGACATCTCCCCCCCCCAGAGGGCAGACATCTCCCCTCCCAGAGGGCAGACATCTCCCTCCCCCCCCCAGAGGGCAGACATCTCCCTCCCCCCCCAGAGGGCAGACATCTCCCTCCCCCCCAGAGGGCAGACATCTCCCTCCCCCCCAGAGGGCAGACATCTCCCTCCCCCCCCAGAGGCAGACATCTCCCCCCCCAGAGGGCAGATATCTCCCTCCCCCCCCAGAGGGCAGACATCTCCCTCCCCCCCAGAGGGCAGACATCTCCCCCCCCCAGAGGGCAGATATCTCCCTCCCCCCCAGAGGGCAGACATCTCCCTCCCCCCCCCAGAGGGCAGATATCTCCCCCCCATAGGGCAGACATCTCCCTCCCCCCCCAGAGGGCAGATATCTCCCCCCCATAGGGCAGACATCTCCCCCCCCCCCAGAGGGCAGACATCTCCCCCCCCCAGAGGGCAGACATCTCCCCACCCCCCCGCCCCAGAGGGCAGACATCCCCCCAGAGAGCAGACGTCTCCTCCCCCCAGAGAGCAGACCCTCCCCCTCCCCCCGCCCCAGAGAGCAGACGGATCTCCTCAACATTCATCTCTCCTCCGGTGTCTCAATATTCTCTTGCGGCCAATTCTTCCGTGCGGGAGCCTCGTGTGTAAGGATCCCGGGGGATCTGAAGCCACATATTTTCTGCAACATTTTGTGGCTGATAGTGCGTTACCGGGGCCATGTTGTGACGTCACAACAGAGCCGACACATGATTGGTTGTCGCGCCTGCAGCTTCCTCACACCAAAGCTGAGATTTTATTGGCCGCTGAAGGTGCTGTGCAGCAGCTGCACGACTATTTCCGTGTGGGCTGTCAGTCTGTCAGTCTGTCAGTCTGTCAGTCTGTCAGTCTGTCACTCTGGCACAGCTCAGTGTTGCAATACCTCTGCCAGGGCGACACAGTTACCAGTGGTGTACAGTTTGGTGGTGACGGGTGTGTGTGTGTGTAAGGTGTGGGGATGGGGTGGGGGTGATGGGGTGGGGGTGATGGGGATGGGGGGGGATCTAGTAGGGGTGATAATGGACCTTGCAGGAAACACAGGTGTTGTATCCCAGTTGCAGGCTCAACATGGATGTATTTGGACCCCCAACATGGATGTATTTGGACCCCCAACATGGATGTATTTGGACCCCCAACATGGATGTATTTGGACCCCCAACATGGATGTATTTGGACCCCCAACATGGATGTATTTGGACCCTAAACAAGGATGTATTTGGACCC